GAGAGACAGCCAGAAGAGCGAGGAGAGACAGCCAGAAGAGCGAGGAGAGACAGCCAGGGGAGAGAGGAGAGAGAGCCAGGGGAGGGAGGAGAGACAGCCAGAAGAGCGAGGAGAGACAGCCAGAAGAGCGAGGAGAGACAGCCAGAAGAGCGAGGAGAGACAGCCAGAAGAGCGAGGAGAGACAGCCAGAAGAGCGAGGAGAGACAGCCAGAAGAGCGAGGAGAGACAGCCAGAAGAGCGAGGAGAGACAGCCAGAAGAGCGAGGAGAGACAGCCAGAAGAGCGAGGAGAGACAGCCAGAAGAGCGAGGAGAGACAGCCAGAAGAGCGAGGAGAGACAGCCAGAAGAGCGAGGAGAGACAGCCAGAAGAGCGAGGAGAGACAGCCAGAAGAGCGAGGAGAGACAGCCAGAAGAGCGAGGAGAGACAGCCAGAAGAGCGAGGAGAGACAGCCAGAAGAGCGAGGAGAGACAGCCAGAAGAGCGAGGAGAGACAGCCAGAAGAGCGAGGAGAGACAGCCAGAAGAGCGAGGAGAGACAGCCAGAAGAGCGAGGAGAGACAGCCAGAAGAGCGAGGAGAGACAGCCAGAAGAGCGAGGAGAGACAGCCAGAAGAGCGAGGAGAGACAGCCAGAAGAGCGAGGAGAGACAGCCAGAAGAGCGAGGAGAGACAGCCAGAAGAGCGAGGAGAGACAGCCAGAAGAGCGAGGAGAGACAGCCAGAAGAGCGAGGAGAGACAGCCAGAAGAGCGAGGAGAGACAGCCAGAAGAGCGAGGAGAGACAGCCAGAAGAGCGAGGAGAGACAGCCAGAAGAGCGAGGAGAGACAGCCAGAAGAGCGAGGAGAGACAGCCAGAAGAGCGAGGAGAGACAGCCAGAAGAGCGAGGAGAGACAGCCAGAAGAGCGAGGAGAGACAGCCAGAAGAGCGAGGAGAGACAGCCAGAAGAGCGAGGAGAGACAGCCAGAAGAGCGAGGAGAGACAGCCAGGAGAGCGAGGAGGGAAAGCCAGGAGAGTGAGGAGAGACAGCCAGGAGAGTGAGGAGAGACAGACAGGAGAGAGAGGAGAGACGGCCAGGAGAGCGAGGAGAGACGGCCAGGAGAGCGAGGAGGGACAGCCAGGAGAGTGAGGAGAGACAGCCAGGAGAGAGAGGAGAGACAGCCAGGAGAGAGAGGAGAGACAGCCAGGAGAGCGAGGAGGGAAAGCCAGGAGAGGGAGGAGAGACAGCCAGGAGAGTGAGGAGAGACAGACAGGAGAGAGAGGAGAGACGGCCAGGAGAGCGAGGAGAGACGGCCAGGAGAGCGAGGAGGGACAGCCAGGAGAGTGAGGAGAGACAGCCAGGAGAGCGAGGAAAGACAGCCAGGAGAGCGAGGAAAGACAGCCAGGAGAGAGAGGAGAGACAGCCAGGAGAGCGAGAAGAGACAGCCAGGAGAGCGAGGGAGTTTTTTTTTTCCCGTTGGTAGATCTTAACACAAAAAATTGTGGGCACCCCTGCCTTCCGAATATTGGCCGATTTTCGCATGCGATCGCGTTTTCGTCCAATATCCGTACGGTGAGGAGAGACAGCCAGGAGAGTGAGGAGAGACAGCCAGGAGAGCGAGGAAAGACAGCCAGGAGAGAGAGGAGAGACAGCCAGGAGAGAGAGAGGCTCTCCTG